CTCCCCCCTCCCCACCTCCCCCAAGAGTCTCCTCCTCAGAGAGCCTTCCAAGACCACCCGGTTTAGGTTAAATTATCCTATAACAGGCTTTCGAATCAGTGAAGCGATAGTCACAGGAGGGATTTTATGTTGATGTTTCCATCAGGTAATGCCCGTTTCCCGTACTGGGCTCTAAACTCTTTGTTAGCAAGGACGATGCCTGCTTTTGCTCATCACCAAGCCCCAGTGCCTGCAACTAAATGACGTGGTCGCGTTCCATGTAATCCATTACACTGGGGACTACGTAGAGAGGGGAGGGTGGCAGGAGCCCACTGGGGGCACATGGGGTTGCCCTCAGCTATTTAAAGCCAAGCCTACAAATAAAGGTGTCTCTACCAAGACTTTCCAAGATGACGGATTGGAAGGGCTCAGTCTTTTGCAATGGTTCCTATCCCTCAGGGGGCTCTAGAATTAGCCCATAATAATCTCCCCTTCTGTAATAGCCATCTCCAGGCTGCAACCAAAGCCATCCCAGCCTTCAAAATAGAACTTCAGAAAAAATGACTCAGAACAACTATAGACCCAGAGGTCAACAGTTTCCTACTAAACTGCTGGAGATGATTTGTAGCCATGGCAGAAATCGCCCAGTTGGAGACCAAAATGCGTGCTGAGCATGGTTTGTCCCATTCCACACCCTACACTCTGCACAGTAGGGATGGTGTTTTACTCTCCACTCTACAAGCAAATGTCAGTGAAGCACCTACTAAACACCTATCCCTGAGTGCTCTCAGGCAGGGGCTTCCGAACACCTTAGTCCCCAAGTCCATGTGAACACACAGCCTGGCGCCCACAGACTTACCATGTAAATAACCCAAAGCCAAAATGCACAAACAGTCCTCCCTGCCTGTAACACGCTTTCATAGTCCCTATGTCAGTACATTCCGTTTTATTTTTTCAGCGCTGTCATGGCCAGAGTTGTAAGAAACAATTTCTAGCCATCAGAAATAGAGTTCATATGTGTATAAAGTACAAAACCAGCAAAACACATGTATGCAGTTAGAAGTTAGAATAACGGCCCCTTTGGGGAGGGGACGGGAGGACTGAAAGGGGGCGCTCGTGGGGTGTTCTTGGTCCCATTGTTGAAACACGAAGATGTTCAGCTTCTGCAAACGCATCATCAAGCTGTGTCTTCATGACCATGCACGTTTCTGTACTTACATTATTGCACAGCGCAATTCCCTAAAACCACCGCAGTGGATACAGGATGACTACTCTGAGGAGTTTAAGATCTAGCTGGGAAAACAAGACAAACACTCCTGGAGCAATGAAATCTAGACTAGACGGAGTCAAAACAGAGCTGGGGGTACAAACTCCAGATACCCCAAGGCCCCCAAGTTCCACACACTTCATCTCTGCAAAGCGGTGTCTGACCGGGAGACCCTGGCTTGGGACACTCTGGAGGACATTCCCACAGACACCCTGGGAGAGTTCCAGCATAAGGAAGGGCTGTTTCAGGAATGAAGGTGTCAACAGCCCCTCACCCTGTCAATAAAAAAACTGGGATTATCACCCCAAAAAATGCAAGGTCAGGAAGCCTTTAGGGAGGAGGTGACGCTTGAGTCACCCTTCCTCAAAGACCAACAGAAGAGACAAACAGAAGAGGGACAGGACATTTTTAAAAGAGCAATGACATGGAAAAGTTTCAAAGGTAAATTCCCAGGAGGCGAGAATCCTGACGAAGGGGACAGGTGGAGTCAGAGGCACCTGGAGGACTGCTCCTGGAGTTGAGTTGACACAGCGAGAAAGGGCCCCGCTGTGAGAAGGGTACACGGCCAGAAGTGCCTAAGCAAGAAGCTTCGGGCAGCCGTGTGCAGCAGTGGCCTCTGGGTTCCCTTCCGCCCACTCCAAGTGGATATCCTGGACACACCATGAAGCCCATGCGATCCCTACCTGCTAGCCCAGCCAGGACAACCAGCACGGCCAGGTTGCCTCTCCAGCGGCCCTCCATCTCCGCATGTTCGGCCTCCCCCTGGGGAAACAAAGCAGGTGGTAAGAGTCTGGCCCTGATGAGCGTTTGCCGCTCAGAGCCGTGTGGAGCCCCAACCAGCCCCATGTGTCCGAGGATGGATTAGTCAGCTTGTCAGCATGGTCAGCGGCACCAGCCTCACCTGGGAACTTGTTAGAAAGGCAGATGCTTGGGCCCACTCCATACCTGCTGGGTCAGAGACACAGAGCTGAGCCCCACAGCCTGTCTAAACAATTAAAGTGTTCCAATTCTGGTACCTGCTCAAGCCTGAGAATCACTGTAGCATGTGACCTTACGCCCAAGCCCAGGTATAAATTATGGGATGCAGATGGTATACCATTACCTCTGGAGTACTGATACTGACCAAAATGTAGCAGCCTGGAATTCCTGCATGCATTTCAGTCATGATGCTTTCATCACTGAGAGAAAAAAAATCCTGCCTACAACACGTTTACATTCTGAAGGGAAAACAGGCAACAAAACAATGAAGAAATAGATCCTAAGCCTATTAGAAGGCAGCAAGAGGTACAGAGAAAAAAACAACAGGGGGCTGTGTGCGAGGGAGTGTGTGCAGGGGGTAGGCTGGTTATCACCTCAAATCGGGAGCTCAGAGGAAGGCTCCCGGAGGAGGTGTTCTCTGAACCGCAAAGCAGGGGAGGTGACACTATGTGGATACTTGCAGAACAGATTTCCAGAAGAGCAGCAGGTGCAAAGGCCCTGGGGTGTGACCATGCCTGGCACATCTAAGGAACTGCAGAGAGGGCTCTGGGGCTGGGGCAGACATAGGGGAGCTCAAGGGGAAGTCAGCCCCTGGCAGCACATGGGGATTCTGTCATGTACATCTCTTGCCCCTTCCTTTCAATCCATTTGCTCTTTGATAACCCTGCCCATCCTGCATTTTTCCTTTTTATTTTTTCCTCCTCTCCAAGACTGGCCTATCCAAAGCAGCCACCAGCACGCTTGGTCCCAGCGGAGCAGTTAGGGCTAAGCCACCCACTGAACACATCGTGAACTGTCTACAGACATTACAATAGCTCCTTCACCTCAGGGAAGGGTCTCTTTATTTGAAACGTTCTTCAACCACAGATACGTGGCGCACAGTGACCCAGGGGCAGCCTCCACCTTCGTGCTGGCATCAAACAGATTTCACAGACACGTGGGGGAGAATCTACCCCCAGTCCTCCAAAACATGGGGTGCCAGGTGCCATCAGAGCCCCATGGCCGGATCCTTATAATGTGCTGATGCAGCAGTCCAGGGCTCCAGCCCCCTCGCTCTCTTATAGGCAGTGGGAGGCAGACCCACAAGCAGAGGTACAAGACCTGGAATGGGCATCGGGAAGTACCTGCCACACCATGGCCTGCAGCACACTCTCCCACAGGTTACGGGGTACAACAGAGCAGAGGCAGGAAGGATCGCAGAGGCTCGGGCTGAGACCACATGTTTCAATTATGTGTGTTAGTCACAGCCCGTGAGAGGAGCCAGGTTTCCACCCCTCTGTTCTCTGATGTCTTTGGGCAGCTGATTCAGGGTGTGCACTACACCATCAGCACCCATGTCCAGACGTGAGGGTCACAGTGTGGATGCTGCAGTGCCATGGCATTGTGGGACCCCCCCTTGCAGCAATCCACAACAGACTGGACAAATCCCTAAAAACATGCCTCACCAGCAAGCCGCACAGCAGCTGCACACAAACCAAACTGAAATCACAGGGCTTCCGAGATTGAGTCGAGATCCCTAGTTATGAAGCCCCAAATAAATAATATACTAATTTTCAAGGTGCAATGAACACAACTCCACACGTCAATCGCCCCACCCGTCGTCTAGAGTACTAGACCCCAGCAGACGATGAAAGAGAAACAGAGCTGTCGAGCCATAAAAGGTGACACATGTCACCGAGAGCAATAAATGTGAAGTGTGGACCTAGCGTTATCGAAACCATGGCAATCACTGAAGGTCATTTAGGAAATACTTGGAGTCACTGATAAGCCGGTTGAGTCAGGTTGCTGACTAAGAGCTGATGATTCAGTAAAGGCTCTGTTCTGCCACCATCTTCACACACCATTCTCGGTCTTTCTCTGTAGGAAAGAACGGCTCCATTTCTAATGAGCGGGACAGAACTGGGGAGGAGGGGGGGGGGGCACTGTGGTGACATGCTGGGAGATACAGAAACCCAGCTGCGAAATGACTACAGACGTGGATTTGCAAGGGGATGGCATCTAAAGGGCGTGTGCAGGAAGGAACTGTCAAAAAGCTGATAGCAAGTTTTAACGGAAGTCAGACAAGGCCCTTTAATTAAATGAGGACCTATGCTGGGTAAATTGCAAGTTACTATCTCTATGGAGTAGTTTTGACGGGCCGCTGCATTTTAACTTCTCATTCATTTCACTGTGGAAGGCTTGAATCACCTACTTTTAGTTGAAAAACTGCAAAGTCTTCCTAAAATCTTAAGTCTTATTACATATTTCCCCATGTATAAGACGAACCATTTTTTTGAAAAATTTGGGGTCTAAAAACTGAGTGCGTCTTATACAGTGGCTGTAGATTTTTTTTGCTTGCATTTCCTGCTTATTTTGCACTTTTTTGTGTGCTCATACAGCCACTGTATAAGACGCACCCAGTATTTAGACCCCAAATTTTTCTAAAAAGGGTGCATCTTATACATGGGGAAATACGGTAAATTGTATGCAATAGATAGGACTTAACACGCCAAGCAATTTCTTAATGCCCCGAGAAGGCCAAATCACTGGGGTATCTGTGGACCCACCAAGTCAGCCATCTCATGAAGAAAATTGCTGAATCGGATAATGTCACTTAATTACCCCCACACACAAACACTTATTTCTGAATTATTGGTAATTGCTTGATATCATAACATCCAAAGAAGGCTGTCCTGCTTTCCGCAGTAGCAGGCACCCCAAATCCAAAAAGGAAGAAGTGCTTCTTACGGTTAGTGAGAGGGGCTCACTGCAACCCACCTGCCAAAATGAGACTACGCCAGCGCCCCCTCACCCCCAGTTCTCCAGCTCTGGGCATCCCTGTCGTGGGCAGTGCCCGGGCCCTGCCTGCCAGACTTGGGGCAGCCTTGGAACTTCCAGAGACCTCAGCAATTCTCCCTCCACAAGGCCATCTCACTAGGCATTTAATCAAATGGCGTTTAAAAGTTTGTCCGATGAACAGCGTGAGTCACAGTAATTTTCCAGCAGTGCGACCCTGACCTCCCAAATTCCAGCCAAGGATCAGCTTTCAACACATCCCTGAGAGCAGCTCACTGTGAAAGGGACACTCGCTTGATTAGAAATCGTCTCAAATTCCTACACTCGCAGAGCAGCCCGCTCTTTTAATTTTTAACTTCGTGGGAAGTTGGGAGCCAGAGTCTGTTTTCATGGCCCAACACTCTGCCCCGGAAGAACAGCTAGAGCTGGTGCCACTCCCAGGAGGAGCCCCAGTACCTGCGGAGAAATCCACTAGACAAACACCTGTCCGGGGAGCCACACTGGAGCCACCTCACCTCTGGCAGGTAGGTCTTCTCTTCAGGGCTTCAGGAAAGGTTCTCTGTTTCCAAAAGGTTTCTTGGCCTCCGTCCTCTCTCCACACAAGCACAGGAACAACTTCTGTCTGGCCACCAGAGAATCCTGACCCAACCTGAGCAGTCAGCAGGAAGTTCCTCACGAAGTGCTTCTGTCACGTCACAGGCCAGGCTGTAAACACAACACAGAGGTGGCCTCCGACCGCCACAGGCCCTCAGTCCCCGAAGGTGTGTGCGTTCCTGTGTGTTTCCTGTTAATTATTAGCCAGCCCCAAACAGCAGCCCAGGAAATCCGGCGGGGGCCAGGGAATGCCGAGGCCTCAGTCCCAGGGCTGTCCTCCTGCTCTGCCTCCAGTCCCTCTGCCTCCTCGGGTCCCTCAGGTCCTGCAGAGCCAAGACCCGGCTGGGCCCCGCCATGCTCTTCCACCAGTGGGCGGCGGCAGGCCCGTCTCGTCCTTGGACGGCCGCCTGGCCAACCTTGCTCCCTCTGGCCTCTGGCACAGGCCCGGGGGCTGGTGAAGCCGGTTCTTTCTCCCAGGCAAGCACTTCCACATGCACAAGAACAGGTTCTTTTGTGAAAGAAGAAAAAAAAAAAGACCCAAGGGTGAAGTGCTCTGGAATGTGGCCATCTTGAGCTGTGAATCACAGCTTTCCTGTGCAGCGTTTGCACAGAGCTGTTGGGAGGTTTTCGGCGGGCCTTCCATGCCCCAAGCCCAACCCCCAGAAGTAAACAAAGGACCTAAGCCTTTCGGAGTGCTGTGACAATTTCTGGAAAACACCATCTCCCCCAATCCTGACTGTCCTTGCTTATATGGTTCTTTTTCAATATCTGGCTTGTCTCCCCCAGTACATTTTAATCTTGTCAGGGGGACTCAAGGTCAAAGGTGTCTACACACAATAGGCACCAACAAAAAGTGCGGGTCATACATTTAGACCCTAAAGTAACTGAAAAAGAAGAAACTCTGTTCCTTCCAGGCGAAGGGGACCAGAATATGCCACTCCGAAATAATCACTTTGGCGTAAAGATTATTTTAAGCTGCAGACATTTGCCATTCAACAGATGCCAAAACAAAAAATAAGAAACACCTCAGAGTTTCCCTTTTCTGTCTAAAAGCAGCAATTTGGGGAAATGAGAGTGTGATAAATTTCCCCTCAGGGTGGATCTACTCCCAGAAGGGAGAACTCAAATAAAGCCAACTCCAGTGCTCGCTCTGGCAGCACAGATACTAAAATTGGAACCATGCAGGGAACAGCATGCCCCCTGCACAAGGATGACACACAAATTCGTGAAGCGTTCCATATTTTCTTTATAATTTATGTAAATGTCTAACCACTACGTTGTACACCTGAAACTAATATAAATAATATTGAATGTCAGCTATAAAAAAATAGTCATGGGGATATAAAGTACAGCATAGGGAATATAGTCAATAGTACTGTAATAACTATGTATAGTGTCAGACTTATTGGGGTGATCACTTTGTGAGGTATATAAATGCCTGATCACTACGTTGTTTTGTACACCTGCAACTAATAAAAAAATAAACAAAAAATACAACCTATTCCAAATCCCTTCTCCAAAGAGTTTATGACCCTGAAGATGGAAAGACCACTTATACCTGTATAGACAAACTTTCCACAAACTTTCTTTTCTCCCATCTGTCCTCTTGAAAACCTATTTGTCTTTCCTAAAGGGACCTATTTGTTCTTCCCATGAGAAACCTTTTCTCCCCACATTCCTTCCTTGACTAAATTAGGTATATAAGCCTTTAACCACTTAATGAGCCTGTTATTTCCTTTGTCGGCTCCCATATGCATGCAAAATAAACCTTTTTCTCTTATTAATCTATATTTTATCACTTTAATTCACAGGTCCCAGCCACTGACTATAAGAGGATAGAGAGGAAATTTTTTTTAATTGCTTACAAAGCCCTGTGCTAGGAGCTGATGAGAAAAATGATGAGCAAAACAGACAAACTCAGGGAGTCAATATATTAGTCCAGTGATCTCCCAAATCTCATGGAGTCACAGCATCTTAGTCATGTGTCCCTGAAGGCCTAGCATAATTCAAAACTCAAATAATTTCAGAACAACGAGCTACACGAATAGAAATCCAAGGCCCATAGAGCTCATTTTTGCCCTGATGTGCTCATTTATTTTCTCAGCTTCAGTCCTAATATTTAAAATATCAGCCAGCACTGGGAGTCACAGGGACTGACCTTCAGGGCACAATATCACCTCTGACTCTCCCTGCAAAAACTTCTAGCCTCAGCCTTAGCCTCAGGACTTTAACCAAAGAATATTGTTAGAGCTTCCAGAAATCTTTGTTATATTAGAATAACAATGAGTGTGTAGGGGAGGGAAAAAAACAAAACCAAAAAAACGTTTCCTCTATGCCCCTCAGTTTCACAACCTGGGCCCTAAAAATTAAACTGACAAAAGACAGATGAAAGAGAGAAAAATCAGAGATTAACAAGAGTTTATTAACATGTGCAGCACTCACACAAGCAGAAGAAAACCAGTAAAGAGTAACTCAAAGGGGTTGACAGAACTCGGGCTTATGTGGCATCTTAACAAGACAATAAATCTATAGAGAAGTGACACGACAAAGAAAAAGGAGTTAAGGTTTCTTGGGGTGGCAAACTACAAGAAGGTGAAAATATAGGGAGGCTGATGGAAGACAGCGGCTTTGGGAAGGTTTGTAATGTAGATTCTGATAAGCGTCTCCAATTACAATCCTTTCGCCCCCGTCTGGTACAAAAGAGGGGAGGGCAGAGAATTGGTTTGGAGTTGGCTGTTTCCCAATTATTTTCAGCTTAAATAATCCTCACACCAAAGTGGCATGTTTTGGGGTGGCATGTTCTGACCCCCGACAAGTGCCCTATAACAACAATACGTGTATAATAACAGAAACTACTCTCAGAAGTTCCGTACCACGTGCAGGGTACCCCTGCCGGCCCGGGGCCCAAGGGATCCTGTCCACCACGTACTGAGACACCATCCCAGGCAAGAGTGGAAACACAATTTACAAGCCATTGGAAATGCAGCTCTGAAACTGCGCAGTCCTACTTTAGTTTTTGCTCTTTTGGAATTTGGGAGACTTGCGTTATTTCAAAGTTTGAGCATACAAAGAGGTTTCACTAATATTTTTAGCCTAGGCTATTTTAAAATCACAAAGTTCAAATTTACATAAAACATATTCACACTGTAATTTCAGTTGTGGTGAAGGCTGTGAAGGAAGCTTTGAAGAAGGGGTAGAGTTGGGGGCGGGGGCGCCTCCCTGAGGAAGCTGGCTTGCGCTCAGGCGTGGGGTGGGCACATTGGGAGTGAACTGGGTAGGAAGGTGGAATGCCAGGGGGCCGGAGGGCTATGCCCTGAGGCAGAGGGATCAATGCGCACCTAGGCAGCGCCCTAGCATGTCGGGTGGTAGGAAGCCAAGTGCTCCTAAGGAAGTTAAAGAGGTTTATGGGACCTGAATGCAAAGAGGTGGGGGTGCAAGGGGTCTTAGATGAGCCCAGAGTGGAGGCAGAGTGGAGGAGGTTGGCTTTTGTCTTCAGAGAGAAAAAGCAATGTCAGGAAAAGTGGTTAAAAAAAAAAAAACTTCGAAATGGGCAAAGAAGGCTATGGGGTTATCTGGTTTACTAGGACCTGAGCTATCTTTGAGCCATTGAAAACTCTTCAGTGTGTGGTGGTGAATTGTATGTGCCATCTTGACGGGGCCACAGGATGCCCTGGGATCCGCTGAAACATTATCTCTGGGTGTACCTGTGAGGTGTCCCCAGAAGATGCTACTATCTGAGTCAGTAGACTGAGTGAAGCCGATTTGCCTCCCCAGCATTGGTGGGTCTCATCCAATCGCTGAGGGCAAATTCTCTCCGCCTGACTATTGGCTGGGACATCACGCTTGTCCTGCTCCTGGGCGTTGGATCTCCTGTTTCTCAGGCCTTTGGACTCAGGCTGGAACTTACGCCATCAGACCTTCAGGCTTGGACTCGGAACACGGCACCAGCTCTCCTGGGTCTTCACCTTGCAGACGGCAGAACCCACCATGGGACTTCTCAGCCTCCATAATCATGTGAGCCGTCTCCTAATAAATATATGTCTCCTGTTGGTTCTGTTTCTCTGGATAACCCTGACTAATTCAAAGTTGTAAGAAACTAATCGTAATACAAATGACTCTAGTACATAGACATGCACATGAACTGTGTCTGGTGCCGAGGCAGCTGACTTTCGCCGGGCTTCTCACTGGGGCCGCTGGGGCTTCCTTGCAGCATGGCGATTAGGCTGCAAGGCCAACTGTCCCATCAGGCAGATGGGAGCTGCTCGTCTTTTAAAGCCTGGACTTAGAAATTGGCATAAGAAGCTACAACAAATTGAATGGCCGAAAACAATACTCATTTATAATCTCACGTCTCTGTAGGTCAGATGTCTGGGCTGGTTTGGCTGAGTTCTCTGCCAAAATCAAGGTGTCAGCCAGGCCTGGGTCCTTATCTGAAGGCTCTGGGAACAAATCCACTGCCAAGTTCATTCGTTTTGTGAGATAAACTCATCTGCTTGTGGTTCTAGGACTGAGGTCCCCATTTTCTTGCTGCCTGTCAGCCGACAGCCATGCTCAGTTTTTAAAGGTCACTCACATTCCTTGGCACGTGGCCCCCTCCATCTCCTGAGCCAGCAACGGTGCATCAAATCTCCCTTCTGCGTTCACTCTCTGACTTCCCCTAGCACCGTCAGCCGGAGAAAACTTCCTGTTTTTAAAAGTCCATGGGGGTAGATAAGACCCACTTGGATAATCTCCTTTTTGTCCTGTAACATAACGTAATCTTGGGTTCCACGCACACTCAGAGTGGTGAGGGTATATAAGGATGGGGACTATTGGGGGTCATTTTAGAATTCTTCCTTCCGCAGTCACTCCCACTGTATTTTACTGGCCAAGGAGTCACAGAGTCCAGATTCAGGAAGAGGGGGCTTAGAACCCTCAATGGAGGAATGCCAAAGAACGTGGGGGTCATGATTTAAAACCACCTCGTCCTCAAATCCTTTTGGTTGTGAGGAGAGGACACGAATGGAAGAAGACGACCTGTGTGTACAAAGGCATCCTAGACAAGCAGGCTCCCAGCCCTGGGCCTGGGGTGTCAGGTGTCAGCTGTCCTCCAGGTGACAAGCGGCCTTGTGAGGACAATCTGATTTTTGTCACTGGGCAAAGAGTGGTGTTTGCTGATGGGTGAGGGGGCTTTAAAATGTGCAAAATCTTTTAAGAGCTGCCATTAAATTGGGGGATTTTTCTGGTGGTACCCTGGCCCTAAGCCAGGACTTCCTCACTTAGTTACTGCCCTTCGCATACACTGATTCAATTCACACACTAATTCAGGTCACACACTGATGGGTGAACAAAAAGCAAAATAAAAGTGGCCCTTGGAAGTGAACTTAGGTTTTTAAAAGACAAATAAAATGGGGTTTTTTGAAAATGAATTCCGGAGCATGAAAAAGTATAAATTGCCTTTGGAACATCATTGTCTAATTTCTTCTGTTCTATTTTTATTGCAGAATTCTCATTTTAGGCATGTCAGCGTGGCTTGACACATCACAGGTATGCATGGCTGAGAACCGATCACATTGTCCTTTTTTGGCAATCAGTACTTACACGAGAGCTCACAGCTGCTTGGTAAATGAAACGCCCTGGGTGTTAGTGTTGGCTCTTTCTTGCTAAGGATGAGTGTTAAATTTACTTTGACTTCAGATATGAACGTCCATCATACAAACCATTATGGGTTGAATTGTATCTCCCAAGAAAGGTATGTTGAAGTCCTCACCTGCAGGACCTCAGAATGTGACCTGATTTGGGGACAGGGTCTTCACAGAGCAGTCAAGTTCCAATGAGGCCATTGGGGTGGGCATTTATCCAATATGACGGGTGACCTTATAAAAAGGAGGAATTTGGACACAGAGACAGATAGAAGCAAGGCAAAGTGGAAAGACACAGGGAGAAGGCCTCGTGAAGAAAGAGGCAGCGACTGAAATTGTGCTGCCATAAACCAAGAACATCTGGGGTACCAGACGCTGGAAGAGGCAGGAAGGGTCCTCCCTACATGTTTCAGAGGGAGCAGGGCCCTGCCAACACCTTGATTTCTTACTGGCCTCCGGAACTGTGAGGCAATGACCTGCCTAAGGCACTCAGCCCTGAGACACCAAGACACCAGTGTTGGCTGAACTTACTACTTCCACCAGCCACTGAAAATGCCGCCATCCTATTAACCTTTGCTGCTCCCATATCTCTCGGGTCCCCACTCTGTTTTATTCACCTGGTGTATTTGCTTCAAAACTGCAGTCAGAGTCAGTGGGTTGTTTGGGGTTCTTACAATAAACCATGGAGATCTGTATTTAATATTACCCTGGACTGACTTAATATTACCGTCACTTCCCTTCTTTGTTTAAGTATCTGTTCATTTTGTGGATTCTCCTGGCCAGGACCTGCTGGCTGACCATGCAGGGGTGTCTACTTTCCCCATTTGCTGTGCTCTTGTCATTCCACGGACCGCATTGGCTATTTCTCGCTGCTAACGAAATGTACCTTTGAGGTCTTTGTCTTCTGAATTCAGGGACGACAATGTGTTCGTCTTTGTATCCCCAACAAGGCTTGATACAGTGTCGCGCAAAGCAGGCCTCATGAGAAGCTACTGGCAAGCCCCCACATCCATTTTCCCATATTCTAATACCCCCAAATCCTCTGCAGCTAAGCATGGCTGCGTGCCTGGATTCTGATCAACGGGACATGCGCGACTAGGTCCTGCCTGTAAAGAGAGGTCTGTTCTCCTCTGGCCCTTGCGCGCCTTCCTACTGGCTACAAGTGGCAATGAGCCACCATAAGCCACACCCACAGGTGGCAGAGCGAGCAGATAGAAGGAACCTAAGCCCTCAAACTTCTCTCAAGTGCAGGCTTGGAGGACGTGCAGGCTTTTGCAGAGAGAAATAAATTCCGACTTTGTTTAAGCCACTGTTATTTTGGCCTCGATAGCAGCCAAACCTATGTACTCACTAACACAAGTGGACACACAGATAAGAGCCAGAGACCGTTAGGGAAATTCAGGATGCACTGGGCAAAGTTGTGGTCCTCGGTAGTCAGAAAGAACGGGAATCTGAGGTCACACATGGTGCGAGTTACTTAACCTCTATCAGACTCAGTTTCTCTCCTGTAAAACAGTGCTATTAATATCTACCACATGAGGTTGCACTGGATTCATTTTGATATGTTTGTAAAGTGCCAGGCACAGAACAGTGGCCAGCAAATGATAAGTATCACTATAATTAAATATTTCACATACAAAAAAAAAGTTCATTAGAAACCTAAGTTTCATTTTACACTCTAGTGTTCCCCTCTTTACACCTGGGACCACGACTTTGCCCAGTAAATCCTGAATTTCCCTAACTGTCTCTGGCTCTTATTTCTGTACCCACTTAGTGAGTACATAGGTTTCGCTGCTATCGAGACCAAAATAACAGTGGCTTAAACAAAGTCGGAATTTGTTTCTCCACGTGATGCCCGCAGTGCTGTTCACCAAACTTGGGGTGTCCTGCCTTCCAAGCACATGCGTTTTCCTGCCCCCTTTGACGTTAGGTGTCGCCATGTGGTTTGATTTGGACCTTGAAATATTAAGCATAAAAGATTGCGAGCAGATAAAAGGAATCTGAGCCCCCAGGCTTCTCCAAAGCGAAGGACATGGAGGCTTTTCCACAGTTGTCATGGCCACTCTCCTGTCCTGGCTGTAAGCGCTAAAAGATGCCCTTCACGCTGTTTCCTCTGCACCTGCTCTTGGCAGATTCACTTGCCAGCTTCCTTTTCCATTTACAGGGTTTTCTAAAAACAGCCCTTTACAATTAGGGTATCTCAGGGCAAAGCCCAGCCCATCATCTGCTTTTATAAATAAAGCTTTATTGGGACACAGCCGTGCTCATTAATTCACATGTTGTCTGTGGTTACTTTTTTGACACAACAGCAGAGTTGATTATTTGTGACAGAAACATATGGACCTCAAAGCTGAAAATATTTACTATCTGGCCCTTTACAGAGAAAGTTTGCTGACCTTTGTTCTATAAATTCAGACTTTTTAAAATGAGTGTGACCTTTCATTCATTTCATTACCTTTTCTAAGGAAATAGTCAGAAATATGCACATAGTTTACATAAAAGAATGTGTAGGACAGTGTTCATGATAGATGATGGATGGCTAGACAGATGGAAGATAGGTGATAGGTAGGTAGATAGAAAATAGATATAATAGATACAATAGATAGATAGATATAGATAGATAGATAGATAGATAGATAGATAGATAGATAGATAGATAGATGACAGAGTTTTTTGTGTCTACTTGGATAGGTCAACATCCCCAGTAATTAAACACTCACCTAGGTTTGCTGAAAAGGCATTTTGTTGGTGTGATTGACGTCTATAATCAATTAGATTTTTTAAATGTTTCTCTGTTCTTATTTGTATATTCCAAGGTTGCTACCACGCACACACTTCGTGAACTGAGAAAGCAAGGCGATTATTTTGTAAACACTAACCTCCTTCCAGCTCTCCAGCAGCACCCACACACCCCCGACACACATCCGAATATCCCAGCATCATCACCCCCCAAACTCACAACAACAGACGCCCTTTAAGCCAGTCCGACTGGCTTGCTGCTTGTCGCGTGTTTATTTTCCCACATCACTCTGATTCCCTTCTGGTCCTTAGAACTCTTTCCAGAGTGTTCTGAGAATAAGCGTCCCTGCTCCCCACTGGGAAGTGTCATCTGGTTGGGCAGTGGGACCAAACCACATTATTTATATTTAATGCTGCCTCATTAGAGCCGGGACCTGACCCTATTGGGAAACCAGTGTGGACCATATGGGGAACGGTGCCACATTTTTAAAGCACCTGGTTATTTTAATCATAAATTAAAACCTCATGGATTTAGATTTTTTAATTTGGAATTAATGATACGATCAAACATGTAAATATTTGAAACTATCCTGAATCAAATCAACAATGCAAATAAGATACCAGGGTTTACTTGTAGAGGGTATAGTTTTTAAAGGACTTCATTTAATCAGTTATTGGCAGGCAAATCCTAATTACCTACAATGAGCAATAAAATTTGAATGGTGTTCCAGCTTTAGCTAGTATATGTACTTGAAAGAAAACTAACTTACTGAATTAAATCCATTTTGAAAACAGAACTTCCACCTTCGTATGGGCCTACCTTGTAATTCCTACCTATGTGGGGGCTTGTCACTGGTGGAAGGTGGGGCGATTTCTGTCCCTGTACCGGGCACTGCGTGGGGGCTGTTTCTACAGCCTCATTTAATTAGCTCAACAGTTGTGAGAAGTGGCTATTATTATACCCATTTCACAGAGACTAAAACTGAGGCTCTAAACATTCATTATGCTGCCAAGAACCATGCCATCCGTAAGCCAGGGGCTTTGCCTCTGACTCCAAAGTCTCCCATGTTCTTTCCACTCTACTGCACTGTCTCTTAATTAGAATATTTATGATAAAGTTATGAAACTGAATAAAAGAAACCTCACCTAAAGTGGAGTCAGGATGCCAGGAGGGGCTTTCACACTGGGCCTGAGGTTGAGCCACCGACTTCTAGAAGGCACGTTTCGAGGCATCTCCTGGTTCACAAACCTTCCCGTGAAACCCACCCTCCAACCCACGGAAGTGGGGCTTTGGCAGCCATTGTTTTCTCCCTAGTGACCTGTCTTCTGCCCAAAACAGCAGGTGGCAGTAGGGACAACTGACCAGGGCGGGTGACCAGAGAGTCCCTCCCCTGGGAACTTAGAATTGGGACCCAAGATACTAATTAATCTCTGGTGGTCGCCTGAGGAGGAGATGAAAACCTGGGAGCTTAGAGGGTCCTGACAGAAGGAATGAGGAAGATGAAAAGGAGGAAAGGGGCATGGAGGACCAGAACCACGAGGAGAAGCAGGGACCCTGTGGCCTCAACAGGAGCCTGGCTTCCCGGTGGCCTCCCAGCTCCCGACTCTGGAACCCTGCCGCCCACGTGAGCGTCATGTTCCGGTTCTGAAAGGCCCTGAAGCTCCCATGTGCTCCCGGCAGCCCCTCAGCCTCCCTGTCTGCACGGCACTATCAGCACTGTCATCCTCGATGACATTCAGTATGTGGCCCAAAAACCATGGCACCCACCCACTGGGTCCGCCCTCATGTTCAACATGGAGAAATGCTGCGTTATCATGAATTCACCCCCAGAAGCAGGTTTCTTTGGAGACGACTTCCTCAGGAAGCCTCCCCCATAAGTGAACTACTGGATCATGCCATCTACCTCCCTAAATGTCAGAGCCCCCCATAGGAGGACCCTCCCACCTGAGCTGCAGGGCTCCTGCTGTCACTCGGGCCCCTCCGGGTTGGCTTCCTGCATGAGTCCTGCCCTGCAGCCGTGAAGTGTCTGCTGCAGTCCTGCTTTGGGGACATGCCTGACGTTCCAGTCTTCCTGGACGTCCCCTCTGTCCCAGAGGACGGAGCGCCCAGGTGACTGTGCCTGTCCTCCGAGGTCTGTCGCCACCTAGTGGCCAGAAAGGGCTAGTGGCGATATCGTGCCCAGAAGGAAGGTGGCCCTGTGGTATTCCCCCGGGACCCACTGGGTGAAGCAGCGTTATCCACGGGGCCCCCCACAAGAATCAGAGGACCCTTAAAGATGAGTGGTCAGAGGCCACATAAGTCAGAGAGCAGGAGGCTTCCCTCTGTCAGCTGACAAGCCACAGAGGACAATTCAAGGCTGACCCTCGTGGCCACCGCGTTTGCTTGGTTCAGCACCTCTCCCTTCCTTGGGGGGCTGCCTGCCCACCATGCCACCGTGACAGGTGTGGACTGACCGTTTCCTCCCGTGACTGCTCATCAGGCCACAGCAGACTCGCCCGGGGGTGGACACCGCCCAAGAGGGTCATGCGAGTTTCCCCGAAGGTTACGGTCAGTCTCTCTCCCGGGTTGGAGAAATGCCGACGGACTGGGGGTCGTGTGCACTGGAGCTGACCTTCACGCAGACAGGAGGGACTTGGGGGTCGGGGTGAGGGAGGAGAAGCAGGAAGGGGTTGCAGGTGTCAGGCTCCAGCTGTGCCTAAAGCCCAGCCCTAGTTCTATCCGTGGTGTCTGGGAGTCACCCTGATATCCTTATAATAAGTTGCTCATTTTTGTTAAAATGATGCACACTGGATTTCTGGCACCGGCAACTGACCAAACTTGGTCCTAGAAGTTGGTAGTTCAAGCTCAGGCCCAGCTCACAGCCACAGACTGGCCTGCAGCCATGCTGGGCTGCCCACAGACATTGGTCCCTTACTGGGGGGGAGGGGGCCCTTAGTGTGTCCCCTCCTCTGGGCCACCCTGTTGGTTGGTGAGCATGGCTCCTTCCACAGTCACATCGCTGAGCTCTGTATGTGCTGCTCCAGGCTTTACACCCACTGGACAGCACCCAAATTTCCATCCTGGCATTTCTATATCGCCATGTGAAAATCTTCTCGAATCTTCCGGCCCCTTCCAGTGCCTGGGTCTAGTTCTTCCTATGGCTCTACTATGCTTTCTGCCCTAAAATTCTGCGAAGGTCACTAAATTAAAAAACAAATTGTGCTGTTAATAGTTACAGTCCATACCTTCATACAGTACACAGTCCACACCTACAGATGTAGTTGGAAGTAGAAGTACAATTAAATAGCTCGGGCTTCTGCCTCTCCACCCAAATGTGTGCTTCTCGGTCAGGAGTGAATTGTGGTCACCAGAGGTAAGCCGTGCAGTTAAGAGCCTGCACTTCGTTCTAAGCAAGAGCTGGTTTCAAACATCAATTCTGTCCTCACTGTCTGTATGATCTTAAGTAAGTTACTTAACCTCTCCAAGCTGAGTCGCCAGATTCAGGGGGAAAAACAAACAACAAAAATAGACCATCCACTTAAATTTGAATTTCAGATAAATACAAATAATCTTTTAGTATAAATGTCTCAAATATTGCATGGGATATACATATACTAAAAATTATTCATTGCTTGTCTGAATATATGGGACAAACAAATAAAAAAAATATTTGTTGATTATCTGAAATGAACTGGACACACTATATTTTATCTGGAAAAACCTTCAAGCCCCATGTCTTCATCAGTAAAATGAGGCTAATATTAAACTTACTTCTCATGTGTTTACTGTCGGATTTTATGAAGGAATGCATGAAAGCATTGCACGTCACAAATGCTCAATATATTATAATTACTACTCGTGCATGTAGGTTTGCCTTTGACAGGCTTACTTTATGCCTGTTTTCTCTGGGGAATTATTAATAGTTTCCCATTTTACATTCCAAACTACCCAAGTTTGGATAATATATTACATTTTCATCCCAGGTACAGGGATCGAATGCTTCTATAACATACAATTATCTGCGTGAAGGTTGAAATGTTTTCCTTATTTTCAACCACCTGATGGCACTGCAGAGCAAGGAACTGAATGAGAAAGAATTGTACATACAATTTTACTTTAATAACATCCTTAGGTTGGTTCCCTCCCCACCCACAACACACACACATTTCATTTTATTCAATGAGATTGGATGACTCAGTAATTCTAGGAATGCTCACCCTAAAGCTAGAATACAAAAAGAGACGGTAAATAAGTCTAATTATAAAACCAATGAATGATTATCCTCCAGCCATATTTTCTTCTTGAATAAAATGAAACTGTTTTTCTACTTTCATAATTGAGACTAAAATTAGCCAGAATATTCTTTGTACTCTACAAGAGCAGGGATCTATTTTCTTATTTGCTTACAATGTATCTTTAGTATGTAGAATAATTCCAGGCGTAGATAAGTGCTCAATGGATACTGAATGAATGACTGCATGAATGAATGGGCTGATTATTAAGAAGATAAATATATGGACCTCTGTAGCTTAGACTGAAACTTTCTAGAAGTTGGAATGATGTGGCCCAATTGAAAACAAAAGTTCATATTTATTTACATTTAGAAAGGCCTTTACAGCACCATAAGACATTCATCAACTGAATATCTTAAAAGAGGGAATCAAATGCTCTTCTTGGGAAAAAGAGGTCAGCTAGAATAAAAAGCTAAAATTTTCACCAGCTCTAATTCTGCTGACTCTCCCCTTGATAGGAAAATAAAGGGTTTTATTTTCCACTTCCAACAGGGAGAAAAACACATTCAAGGGAGATGCTAAGACCCAGTGTTCAGGAGACAGCGTGCACCAAGCAACAAACTGGTCAAAGGTAAAAATATTTTTCCAGTCCAGTGCACCAAGAAGAACATTAAATAACTTTTCAGTTCTGTTAATAAATGATACACCAAAAAAGCACCTCAACAAATGTCCATCAGCAAAACAGAAGAAGCATTTCAAACATTGAGTTCTATTTGCCTCTAGAAATTTAACAAAAAAGAAAATTTCACATGATAACCACGTGTGTATGGTTTAGTACAAAAGAAATTCGTGGTCATAATAAAAC